CCCTGACTGCGTGTACTAGAAGATACGCACTTATTCTGTCGCTAAATTGAAAAACGGGGCCGGCTAAGACCCGCTTGAGCGGTTGCATCAGCAAAATTTTGTTTAACGTCGATCTAAATGCCAAATAAACAGAGTACACATTTTTTTGTTTCGATACCCATTCTATCAGGAAATGAAGCTAAGTCCGGGAACTGTGAAGGTAGCCACCACCCAGTTTTGAATTATTCTTACGTTTCATACCTTCTGTGGTGTGCTCCGTGAACAGATATTACAGAACACTTCAACGCTGGTTGGCAGTGTAACTAATGTTGTTGACATATATACAACTCAGCAGGCTACGGTCGCGTGATTGTTGTTGAAGGGAGACAGAAGTAGCGCGGCATACCAAAACCATCTGTCTTAAGAGAAAACTGTCATTTGAGACGCATTCCATTGAAATGTACAGTTGATCATAGGAACTACGACGAACAACAATACAAGTAAGATGTGCGGACATTCATGTCTCAGCAATAAACCTCGTAAGCCGTGATGAGATAAAAAGAAAACGCTATTGACTCTTCATGAAAAAAAAATTCATGTGAGGCGTCATTAAATCCTGTGGAAAACTGTCGGTACCAGAACAGAATAAAGGACTTACATAGATGCAGTGTGTTCTTGTCGGCATTCTTAAGAATACCCTTGAGTGGATAAAAACAGAAACTTGATTTAAGAGCTGTGAAGGGTCTAGTATGTAGACTTAGACAACTGCATTAATAGATATTTATCAAGAAATCGTAAGCTAGTTAATCTAAAACGTGTTTTTAAAGGACGGATACGATATTTTGTAGTCTTCAAACCGTTATCAATGAGATCGCTACATGATATTGGGTATAGTTAAAAGATAGAATAATGCAAATCTAAATTCACATACGACAGAAGTCAAATACTGTAATCGCTGAGGAAAAGCAATCAAGACCAGGGTTTTATTTTTTGGGTATCAAGGACAATAAAGACATGAACGACCATAGGAAAGTGAAACTGGTAGATGTGTGCGTCATTGTCATATAACAAGCGTTGAGAAACGTGGCCTGCGTTAGCCTCGCAAGCTAACAGTCTAAACATATTACAGAATGACAGCTTTTTAGAATTCAGCCGAAACGAACGTCTAGTTACTAAAGGGGACCTAAGACTACGATAACCAAATATCTCCCTGGAAGGGTTATTGGAGGATAAGACAGAGACGGATATGAATATGACTAAATGATGGCGAAATTACAAAAGCTGACAAGAGGACGCTCTTTACACCAGCGTAGGGACCGACCAACTTGCGACCTGTTGTACCTAACGTAGACAGGTGTCTGACACAAAGCAAACTTTATATTTTGAAATCCGTCGGGCGTGCTAAGCTAGGACCTGAATGAAAACAACTTCTACAGCACAAGCAAATCGACAAATATCAATAAGATGAAAGCCAAACCCATTTGGCCGAAATAGAAGTCACGGTTTCTATTTAATTAGTTTAGGGCGCAATGGGTGACAGAAATAGATAATAGAAGTGGAAAGTTGAGTACCTTGGGGCCTTGTGGTGCTTTAGGCCGAGCCATTTATTAAAGATAAGGGGCGTGAAAAACAACGTGGTCTCAAAGGGCCAGCAATGATATTACCACCAAAACACCACTTTTAGTACCCAATCAGATTTCAAACTTCTCACGCTCGCCATATCTGCTCGTTTACTGGCTTATTTGCACAACCCAAAACTAACGTTCTATCAGGACCGGAAGGTTCTGTAATGGAAGTTAAAACAGAGAGTTTACACGATAAAAAAGGCACTCACATCCCCCGTTTGTATGGTCTACCAAAAATCCATAAGAATGGC